CCTCCCGCTGCGTGTCACTGTCCCCAGGCCCTGCTCCCCCGTGCCCTGCCACAGACACCGTGTCCCTGAAGCTGTCACCACTTAAGCACAGCTGGTCCTGCTGTGGAGGAGCGTGGCGGATATTGAGGGCAGATTACCCTCGTGACCCTGGGGTGTGAGCGCCTGGGGCGGTGCTGGCACAGGGACACAGAGCCGGGGCTGTCTCTGATGTGGCTGCTGCCAGCGGGACTCGCTGGGAATGCTCRGCCTGGCCACACAGGGATGGGAATCCCGACTTTGATCCCCCTGGGCTGGGGCTCWGCACCCCTTGGGAGAACCCCTGAGCTGCACAAAGCACAGCAGCTTCCAGCCGTGGAATTATAGAGGGTGGGAAAGGCTCTGGGATTGTTGAGTCCAACCATCAACCCAACACTGCCATGTTCACCCTAAATATGTTCATCCTAAATGTCCCCAAGTGCCACATCCCCACCCTTTTTGAGGCCTTCCAGGGACAGTGACCCCACCACTTCCCTGCACAGCCTGTTTCAGTGCTTGACAACCCTTTCCATGAAGAATTTTTCCCTGCTATCCAATCCAAACCTTCCCTGGTGCGACTTTTCCTGCTACTTGGTAGCTGGGAGAAGAGACTGACCCACCCCAGCCCCACCATTGTGCCAGGGAGTTGTAGAGGAAATGCCTCTGGTCAGACCTTCACGGGCTCTGTGGGGTCCCACCATGTCCAGCAGAGCTGGGGGAGGACTCGTGGCCCATTTTGGCCCAGCAGTGCCAGCCCCGTGCTCAACCCAGCCTGCCCAGCACCTTTGACACCCAGCAGTGTCTGCAGCAGCTCCCAATCCTTTCCCTGCTGGATCCACCGACCACCCCAAACCCTGCCAGATGCCCCATCCCACACTCTGGATTGCTTGGCATGGCTCAGCCATCAGCCTTCCCCTGCTTCTCTCCCGTTCTCATTCCCAGTATCCTTCATTTTCTCTGTACTCTACCTGCTCAACAACTTATCCACCTCCATGGGTGTCCAGTCCTTCCCCAGGATGGGCACCCAGCCCTGGGGAATCCCACCAGGGACATCTCTGTCCTTGGAACTGTGCAGGTCATGGCTGGACAGAGCCATGGCAGCCTTGGGCCCATGGTGAGAGTGCCCAGAGACATCGAGGTCCTCCCTGGCTCCCTGAGGGAGGTTCTGCCACTCTTCCTCCCCTTGTCCATCGCTCCCATGGAGAGCTGGCCATTTCCATTTGCTGCTCCTGACGTCTGCAGCATCCTCAGCTCTGGTTTTTGTCCTCAGTTCTGAGTTTCAGTGCCATGCACAAGCCCATCTCTGGTGTCCAAGGCTCCTCCTACTCGTCCTCCAGTGTCTGTCTGTGCATGGCCAAGGGGCAGGAGGATCCTGCACATGCCCTGCCAGAGGAGCAGATGCTCCTGGAAGAAGTGGTGCAGCTCCATCGTCCTTTGTCTCCCAGGAGAGGAGGGAGGGCTGCAGGGTGACAGGGAGTGGGGCTTCCCGTGAAGGAGACCCTCCAGCCCCTGTTCCACTGGACACTGCAAGAGCAGACATTTTCCTGGCTTATGTGGAGCACTGAGGAGAGAYCAAAACCTTGGATGAGCCTGGAGCTGCAGCTTTGGCCAGGTTTGCTGCAGCCCTTCTGGGCACACCACAGTCGAGTTCTCCTGGGTCTGATTCTGCTGAGTTCTGAGTCCTCCCAGGCTGTTTTGCTGGATCAGGAASATCCAGCTGCTTCTGGTCACACCCAGACCATGGCACAGCCCTTTCACCTGAGCAAGCTGTTTGGTGTCAGGAGCAGAAAATACCACTGGARGATGGAAAACACAGGGACATGTTCCCTGTCTGAAACTCACCCCCCTTCTCTGGATGGGGATATTGTCCCAGGGAACTCCTGTGCTGTGTCCTGTTGGGAAACACAACCCTTCTCCCTGACTGCCCTTCCTGGAGCTGTGGGGTCACAGCAGATGGGTCCAGCAGGGTTGCTCCATTCTCCAGAGCAGAAGATTGGTCACCACAAGCAGCCAGCCAGGCTGGATGGCTGAGCAGGGCTGGGGTCACCTCCCAGGCCACCTCCCCTGCTCTGCCCAGGGCTGGGAGTCACAGTGTGAGATGGGAAGGCTCTGGTGAGGACAGGCTGTGGGATCAGTGGTGTCAGTCACCCTCAGGATCAAAAAAAATGCACATTATGAATGAAATCAATGTTATCCCAGCTGTACTGATGTCTCACTCTCCTGCAGGTGATAAATGCCATCGAGCAGGAYTACAGGCTGCCACCMCCCATGGACTGCCCCAAYGCCCTTCACCAGCTGATGCTGGACTGTTGGCAGAAGGACCGAAACCACAGGCCCAAATTTGGGCAAATTGTCAACACCTTGGACAAAATGATCCGAAATCCCAACAGCCTGAAAGCCATGGCACCTCTCTCCTCTGGGTAGGTGTCTCTGCCTTCYTCTTGTCCTTTGGCTCCTCTGGGCAGGTCTGGTGTCCACTGGGTGTTGGTGGCACCATCCCTGCACCTCTCAGGAGCTACTTTAGAGCCAGCTTGGCTTGTGTTTGGGCCTTAATAGGGAGAGCATTGAAAGATCATAGAATYCCAKTTTGGRCTGGMAGAGACCTTAAAGCCCARCCCAGCCCACTGCTGCCATGGCAGGGACACCTTCCACCATCCCAGGGTGCTCCAAGCCCCATCCAGCCTGCCCTGGGACACTGCCAGGCTTGGGGCATCCACAGAGAAGGGATGCAGGTGTCAGGGTGACTCTGGTCCCTCTCCTTGGGCAKCTCATGGGCAGTGCCCTCTGCACTCAGAGGAACACCTTGGTTTTGTGTGCATGGGGCTGCTGGGGGACTGGGATTGCTCTGGTGTTCCAGCCCCACTGCAATGGGAGCAGACAAAGCCCCTGAGGAGTTTGTGGAGTGTCCCTGGGCTGGGTGGGACACACCAGCACTGATCCTGTTATGGGAATGAGCTTTGTCCCCTCGTGCAGCCAGGATTTAGGGCTGCAMCCCCTCATCCCTGATGGCTCCTGCCCCTCCTGCATCAACTGATCCATAAAGACTCCCCTGAGGCTGTGCACAGCCCTTCCCTGGGCAGAACAGAGGCTCTGGGTGGGATCCACAGCCCAGTGCAGTGAATGATGCCCTCCCCAGTTGCTGGAGGGCACAGGAGCAGCCACATTTGCAGCTCTGGGTGTGTCACTGCCCCTTTGTGTGTTTCAGGATGAACCTCCCCCTCCTGGACCGCACAATCCCGGACTACACCAGCTTCAACACTGTGGATGAGTGGCTGGATGCCATCAAGATGAGCCAGTACAAGGAGAGCTTTGCCAGTGCTGGCTTCACCACCTTTGATGTAGTATCTCAGATGACTGTAGAGTAAGTGCCCAGGCTTTCAGCCCTAAAAAACAAGGGAAATTCCCAGCAGTTTTACAACAATTGGTATTGAATTAGGTTTTATTTTTGCATGATGTAGTTCTGCTTTTATAGAATTGTTGCTTTGTGGAGGCACTTTTAATCTGTTCAGTCTCCAGGCTGTGTGTCTGTCCCTCTACACCTGCAGAGCTCTTCTCCCCACTACCACATTGTGGAAATGAACACTCCCCAARGGTCTCCAAACCCCCACATGGAGCAAATGGAGATTTCAGGCTGGCATCAGACAAATTCTGAGCTCTGCAGTCCTCCTGGATGGGTGATGTATCGATGGAGACAAGCATGGTGCCAAGTTGTGCCTAAGAAAGGCAGAATCACRGAGTGKTTGCAGATSAAAGGGACTSCTGGAGCTCATCCAGTCCAACMTTTCTGCTCAAGCAGGGTCTTCTACAGCTCTTCACTCAGGTTGTGTCTCTGGAAAGAGATTTCACACCCTCTCTGGGCAGCCTGTTCTCCCCACACARGGAAGAAGTTCTTCCYTATGTTCWGGTGGAACTTTCTGGGCATCAGTTCCTTCCCATTGCCTCTCGTCCTGTTGAGAGGATGAGAGGAGCCATCCTCAGCTCCATCCTCTGGCACCTCCCCTCACACACCTTGATAAGATCCCCTTGTGAGGGATGGTTCCAAGTTTGTCCTTCACCCACTAAAAATGTCTTGCACCCACTAAAAATGTCCTGCACCCACCAAAAATGCCCTGCACCCACTAAAAACTTCCTGCAGTGACAAATTCTTAGCAAATTCTTCAGGGAAAGCAAGCAACTRAAATCCATTTCTTCATTTTGAGCTTTGAAATCCCTTTGAGCCTCTGCTGGAAGATTTGTGGCTGGCTGCAGGTGTCTGTAGAGCTTCAGAAAGGGGCAAGCACCAGAGCCATCTGTAAGGGCTGCAGGATCTCTGAGCTTAAGTTTGGATTTGATGCTTAAATCCAGATCTTAAATSTACCAGTGAGTCAGAATCCATTCACTCAAACAGYCCAAATGGGGATGTTTTCTGGCTTTTTGTTCTCATTTGCTGCTGGGGAGTCCCCATGGCAGTTCTGGCTGTTTTGGGACATCTGTGGTACAATCCTAAGGCCTTGAGATGAATTTGGCACAATATTGGCTGTGTTTGTACAACAGAAAGAGACAGGGCCCACAAAATCCAAAGGGTAGGGAAGAACTTGGACCAAAGAGAAGGATCAGAGCTCAGCCCACCCTGCCTGGGTTCTGTTTGCTGTATCTGACAGCAGAGAGGGTCAGGCAGTCCCACCACTGCAGGCTGCTCTTTCACAGACATCCTCAGTGTCCCCTCAATGCCACTTCTCCCAGTCCCTTACCATGTCCCTCAAGTCCTCTCCAAGTGCCTTCTCCACAATCACAAGAGCATCCTCAGCTCATGTCCCACCCACATTCACCTGCTTGGCTGGATGGAAAATAGAGAGAAGGACAGTCCAAGTCCTTTTTCCTTGGAAAATTATGGTGTGACAGGGCTTGACACAGCAGCATCTGATGTTCACTGGCCTTTGCAGAAGTTGACAGAAATGTCAGTGGAGCTGCTGGTTTGTCCAGATTTGGAGAGTCAGAGGTGTGGATGTTTCCTGAGGAGTGATTCAGTTCACCAAACCCACATGGTGTCAACACTGACCTGGGCTGGGACACCAAATTATCTGTCAACAGCCACAGAACCACTGGAGCTGGAAGGGACCCTAAACCTCATCTTAAAGCCATGGGCAGGGACACCTCCCACTGTCCCAGGCTGCTCCAAGCCCTGTCTAACCTGGTCTTGGACACTTCCAGGGATGGGGCAGCCTCAGCTGCTCTTTGCCAGAGCCTCCCCACCCTCTGAGCACAGAATTTCTTCCAAATATCCAATCAAACATCCAATCAAATGTTTAATGTCCAGGSCATGAATCTTGGAATCACAAGGATGTGCAGACCCACAGTGTTATTCTGGTTTACAGACACAAGTGAAGTATTTTTCTGCCCCTTTACTCTTCTTTGCCCAATAACCTCCACTCCAAACATGGGAAAGGTTTTGCCACTCTTCCCCTTGAAAGTCTGTTCCTAACCCTCAAGGACAAAAGGCACCTGAARTTCCTTCAGGTCAGGTATGGGTCACATGGCCTCCCTTCTACTGGGAAGAAGAAGATCTAAAGATTTCATGACTGAGAATTATCCAGCAAGAGGGAGATGAGAGCAAAGTCAGCTGGAGACACAGATAGGACCAATTTAGAGCCACACTCACATTCTTGGCATGGCCTTTATTTCTCTTAGGTATCTAAATCTATAAAAAATAGAAGCTGTCCAGAAGTGAGATTGCTGTGATTTAACAAAAGGATAATTACATAAATGGATTCCTTCATTGTCTTATCTGCTCAAAGGAAAAGCATCAAGWGCAGCATCATCTGCACATGGGGAGTGAGATCCACGCTGAGGAGGGGCAGGACATCCCTGTCCTGTGTCTCCAGGGGTGGAAAAATGGGTTAGTGTGTCCCAAAATGAAAGAGAGTCCAAAATCCAAAATGGAACAAGGGTAGAAAATTTAAGGCAAATCGACTCTGAAGCAGAGAACAGAGCCTGTGGCATTTGGTTTCACACTCTGATGAGGTTCAGGACTCTGAGGTTGCTGCAGGTAGGTAGAAAATGCAAAGATTGGACAAGCAAGAAAAAGTGAAAGAGTAGAGGTTTCACAGGGTTTGCATCTGTTTGTTGCCTTCATGGAAGAAATCCTTGGATACCTCAGTTCCCTACATACCATTCTCATGGACTCATAGAACCAGGGAATCACAGAATCACAGGACGGTTTGGGTTGAAAGGCGTTGTAAAGATAATTTAAATTCCATCTATGATGTTCTGCTGTGAGAAAGTATCTCCTGACATTTGTGTTTGTTTCCTTTCCTCCCCAAGGGACATTCTGCGAGTCGGGGTCACTTTAGCAGGACACCAGAAGAAAATTCTSAACAGTATCCAGGTGATGAGAGCACAGATGAACCAAATCCAGTCTGTGGAGGTTTGATAGCTGCCTGTCCTCCCAATCCTCCTCCTCGAGGCCCTGCTCCCCTTTCCCCTGTACGCCCGAGCTCCAGTTCCTGAGTGTTCTGCATGGACCAGAGACAGGCAGCTGCTCTGAGGATATGGCAGCAGGAGGGAACACCCTGTCCTCAGCAATGAGAAATCACCAAGAGCTTCTTGAATTTAAGCAATGGAAAAAGGGAACAAAAAAAAAAAGACAACTATTTTGAAAAAATAAACCACAAAACGAACTATGAAATATTTTTAAATAATAATAAAGCAATTGCATTCTCGAAAAGGGCTCCAAGACCAATGGGAGTCTCCAAAGGAAGAKAAAAGAGCAGCTTCATGTTTCCTCTTGCACAAGGCTGCTGCAGCTGGGCCCAGGCACCTCTGGAGCAGTGGRACTTCTCCAGGAAGAGGAATGCAAGGAAAAAAGGCCACGAGAAGCACATCTCTTCCTCCCGTGGGCTCTGGGAACGCCGTGAGCCAGCCCTTCCCCGGAGCAGATCCAACGGGGAGGGCTGCAGCTCTTTGGTGCTGTGGAACCAAGTGCATCTCACAAACTGACGGACTTCTTCAAAAGCTGAAGACT